GCTTAAGCATGATATTATGAGAAACTGTCTTTTCATAGGCAGAATTTAAGAGGTTTGGAAGGCATAGCTGTAGATGGTAGTGACATTTCTGGGAACAAGTTAGGGATCTTGGTTTAATTGATTAGAAGATGTGATATTTTGGTATCAAAATAGCACCTTATCTCAACCAAAGTGGAGTGATCATAGGGAACTGAAGGAGTGTTTGGGGTTTAAATAGAGCTGTGTTTGGTCAAATATAAGGATGACCATTAATGCTCAAAGTTGTCTCTTGTTTGGGCCAAAGGTGAGGGATGATATTGGAGTGTGCAAGGGAATCTGTCCTTGGCTAAAGAAGAATACTGACTTTTTGGAACTTCGGGAATTTTCTGGCTTTGGGCCAAGGGGAGAGTTGACATTCTGGATTAAGATGGGCATCCAAGGTGATGTCTGTGATGGAAGGGGGGTTGAAATTTGGGATTAAGAAAGATATCTCAGATCCACAACAAAAGGGGTAATGTTTTGTTTGAATGAATTACATTTGGGTTTGGTCCATGGGGATAGCTAACATTTGGGAATCTGATCATTGTCTTGGATGTTGTGTGTGATCTTAGCAATAAGGAAATGTATGAAACAAACATCAGTATAAGTTTCAACGTCTCTGAAAGCCTTTCAGGGTACAGCAGAAATGGCAATACAGGAAACCATTTCTAGTTGCAACTGAATACTTTTTCTAGTTGAGAAAACAGACCGGGGCTTTTAAAAACCCTGAAATCACTTGCTTGTTCACTTGCTTCTTTTGTGAAGCACTTTCCATTTTAGCAGCCATAACCACCGCAGGGTGGATTCTTTCTTCCATCCCACTTCAGTAATGCTGGAATCCAGAGGTTTTAAAGCAGAATCCATCCACCTGGCAATTAACATACCATTTTTAAAAAAGAAAATTTATTTATTTTTATTTTATTTTTGGATTTATATCCCACCCTCTCCAAAGGCTCAGGGCGGCTCACAAAGAGGCATAAATGCCAAGGTTAAAACAATAAAACAATATAAAGAACAGTATAAAATACAGTATAATACAATTCACTAAAATATCGGTGCTCCAAAAAGTCACTTAAATCGTGAATTCCAAGATGGGGTTCTGGAGTTATTTATACCAGAACAACAGTATATGTCCCGGCAGAACTATCATCCATGAGGAACGTCTCGCGCCCCCGATAATACTCGCTCAACCAGTGGTCAAAGTGTGGAGACGGAGGAAGTGGTGAGGGAATAGTGGTGGCGGCGGCTCCTACTCAAAAGCCTGGCGGAAGAGCTCCATTTTACAGGCCCTGTGGAACTGCACAAGGTCCCACAGGGCCCGGATCTCTTCTGGGAGCTCATTTCTCCAGGTAGGAGCCGCCACCGAAAATGCCCTGGCCCTGGTGACAGCAAATTTTATGTTCCTGGGGCCTGGAATGTCCAGGAGATTTTGATTCCCCGACCGTAGTGCCCTTGGAGGAACATGCGGGGAAAGGCAGTCCCTTAGGTAAGCCGGACCCTGGCCATATAGCTAACCTAAATGTATACTTTAGAAAATGGCTCCTCTCTAGAGATCTACTTAAAGAAGCTCACAAAGCAAAAATAATAACAAAAATAATAACAAACATATATGTTATCAACAATAAGGCATAACATATGCCAAGGGCATAAAATCACCATAAAGCAACATTCACCAGTATGAAATGACTAGGGAGAAGGCCCGTTGTGGTAAGGAAGACAACAGACCCTAGAGAGGCCGCGGTCCCCTCGTCTCTTCCCACACCCCACCCCACCACCAGCCGAGGCCCCGGCAGGCTAAGCCAGAAGCAGTTGCCCGTTTCCTGGACCCGCTTGAGGCAGCAGTGGGCCAGGGTGCCAGATACCCCCCCCCCAATGCCCTGGCAGGCCAGGCAATCCGCCCCCCCCATGGTCGAGGCATCGGTGGGCCAGGGCACCCTACCTCATTCGTGGCCATCCCTGGGCCCAACCACTTGAGGTCCCAGTGGGCCAGGATGGCCAGGATGGGCCATTCTCCCAGCGTGGCTCTCCCTGCCCCCAGTGGCATCGGCTGCACAAGGCTCATCAGCCTCATCATCCCTCCCCCATTTGAGGCCCCAGTGGGCCAGGGCTTCCCACTGGCGTGGCTCCCCGCAGCCTCAGTGGCCTCAGCAGCACCAGACTTAGTGGGCTCATTGCCCCCCTGCTGCTAAAGGCCCCGGCGGGTGAGGCCACCCCACTTCATCCCTTCTCTTGGCGTGGCTGTCCCGACCCTCAGTGACAGCGGTAGAATAACCATCCTCATCCCTTCTCCCTCCCCTTTGAGTGCTTGGTGGGCCAGGCCAGCCAGACTCATCCCTTCCCTCGCCACAGCTCTCGCCACCCCCAGCGTCAGCACCAGAGTCACTGGAGCATCCGTCCTGTGTGCCTGAGGTGAAGTTGTCTTGTGAGTTGAGTTCTGGTGCCTGCTGCCTCTGTGGGTGGGATGTAGCCAATCCAGCCAGTGGCCAGGGACCCGTTTGTGAGTGGCAGTCCAGGCGGCCAACTGATTATGCCGTGAATTGAATCCTGCCACCCCATAGGAGAGATGCCACCCCAAATCAACTTTATAATATAGAGAGATATTCAGAACACTGTCCTTAGGCTAGAAGCAGACTATAAAAACAGTTAAAGAACCAACCCTCTCAGGAGCTGGTGCTCTGCTGGTATACAGAGAAGCCATGTTATGGGTCCCTCCCACATGACTCAGGCTTCCAGGGTTACTAAACAAAACAAGTTTCTGCAGTTCACACAGAGGTAATCAAGGAAGGGACCTTGATCTTTCCCAGAAAGACATGAAACAGCGGTGGCCAAATGACCATTATTAACTTATTTGGAAACATCATTTCATGATGGTAATTGTAAGCCATTTAACTAAAAGACTGTCCATGAAGTCTCTTCAAATTGTTCAGAAGAAGTTTTTTTTTCTAGAGTATTAAACTGTATAACATTCATGACATAGAACTGTCTTTGCATTTTGTATTCCTAGTGCTCGTGCACCCTCACCTGGATAGCCCAGGCTAGCCCAATCTTGTCATATTTCAGAAGCTAAACAGGATTAGCCCTGGTTAGTACTTGATGGGAAACCATCAAGGAAGTCCAGGGTTGCTATGCAGAGGCAGTCAATGGCAAACCACCTCTGAAAGTCTCTTGCCTTGAAAATCCTATGGGGTTGCCATAAGACTATGACTTGGTGGCAAAAAAAGAGTACTATTGCATTGTTCATTGAATGGCTTAGGTTGTATGACTCTCTTTCTTTACTCTGTAATCCAACATGAGATTCGAAGAGGCAAGCTTTAAATAAGCCAAATAAATAAGTAAAACAATTTCCAAATTTAAATAACCATCTGTGCAAAGTGCTAATAGATATGGATTTTCCACATCTCCCCCTTCCTCCCCAGGGATCCCTCTTTACACCCCTTCTTGGGAAAGAAAGGTCTCTAGAACTGGCACCCAATTAGGGGAAAAAGTGGAGCTCATCAAGTGGAATAGGGAGATGGGGTGATTTCCTGCTTATTATTACGCCATATAACTGAACTGAAATAAAATACATCTGATTGTGATTTTGGGTAACGTGGGGAGGGCAGTTGCACTTGGGTGACATTAACATAATGATTGATGGGTGCGTTACAAAATTCTAATAGCTACAAAGGCATGAGGTACCATAGTTGTGGTTTCAGCAACATCCCATGATCTTATCTTGATTAGACGTGCTGAGAACTTTATGGTGAACACAACTTGTTTGAACTTTCTTGACAATGCATGCAGTAAGCTCTGGATCAGATCACCTCAATGTTCCTTTGCACAGCTTCATGCCTGCACAGTAACTATGCGGTCATTGCAGCTTGTGGCTTGTCGATGCCTAGTCTGAGAACGAGATCATTTCATCCATCAGACCAGTGGCAGCATCATTAAGCTGACTGATGTGTAAAGCATAGAATCACTAGCAGTTTGTCCCCTTTTTTGCCTGTGCAGTCATCTCTTCAATGACCAACACTGTGATGGGGAATTTTTTTTAGGGTTCCAGCGAGGGGTTCAAATAGAGACAGTGGACTTCAGCAGAAAAGAGTTTATTAAGGTGGAATCTGCATTTGTCTTTCCCACCAGTGTCTTTCCCACTGAGCCTTTTGACTCAGTCTTCAAA